ACACGCAAACACACACACACACACTCACTCACTCACTCACTCACTCACACACACAGACACACGCAAACACACACACACTCACTCACTCACTCACTCACTCACACACACTCAAACAGCTGATGGATGTATTGTTTCATCATCTCAGGCGTCGTCTGCTCACATCTGCTTTTGCGGTTCAGAAAAAAGAAAGAAAACATTTCATTTTGCTGATTATTTTTGTTATTTTCTTTCTCTTCAGAGCAAAGAGTCAATTTTACAGATGACTGCTGTCCATCCCGCCGCCGCTAGACAACAATCAGCAGCGTAGCGCGGGAGTCAGGAGCGTTGCTTGGATGACACGACTAATGGGCGCAGAACGACACGGCGTCAGGAGGAGCGAGTGTGAGCGAGAGCTCGGTGATTCCTCCAGTCGGGCCAAAGGGAGTGACACCATCAATCAGGAGTGTGGAAAGCCAATTTCCCCGAGCGGCCCGCGACATTATCGCACTAATCCAGAGAAACGGAGCCAGTGCTGGGAAGGTTATTCTGGTTACTGTAACGCTAACCTATGTAATAAGTTACAGATTATAAAACAGATAGTTCCGGTGCTTGATTCTGATTGGCTGAGCCGCGTTCGAAGCTGTTGTAAAATACTCTACAAAGTAACATACACCTTTGTTTACGTTTGTGTGTTGCTCGGCAGCCACTTTGTAGCAACCTAACAACGCCCCGTAGCTGTTATAAATTCACTGTAAACCACGGCTTCTTGGGGCTTGTTGCTTTATTTTATGACCGGAAACACTGGCATCTAACAATGCCTTGGAAGAAAAAAAAAGAAAAGCATATACAAAAACCCAAATAAGAAATAAAACAAGTTATGAAATAAGCATGTGTCATATTCTGTGTCCTGAAACATTGGTGTCTCATATTTTAAAGCAGTCAATGCAATTCATGAAAGAAGTCAATTAAACTATGAGAAAGCAATTTAATATGTATCTAGATTAAGGCAGCGATGCGCTGACGCTGGATTTGAGAGTCCAGATCTGCCAGCGAACCCCGGAAAGCTTCAAACCGGGACTCTAGTGGCTAAAAATAGAGATGAAAGCATTGAAAATATATCCTGATCAATTATTAAGCATGCCTGAATATACAGGCGACAATCTGAATATGAAAATGAGCTTCAGTCGGTCAATCATCTGTGTGTGTCGCTTTTATCACACAGTGATGATGTTACGTCCGACTGAGAATCAAGAAGAGGTTCACCTGCTGGAACTAAATGACTCTCACGGATCTTCAGAACGCTTCTGAAATACTGTGACTGTTTCCTGAATCCAAAACTGTGTTTCAGTGAGTTTTCTGTGTGATCTGACCGTGACGGAAGATTAAGACTGGACACAAAAACATTAAACATAAAACACGTCTTTCTATCGTGTTTTCATCGCGAGCAAAAAGCACACAGCGTGAGCAGCGCAGTCTGATTCACTAATGACTCTTCAGATTGAATCAGCTCAGTGAATCAGCTCAGTGAATCAGCTCAGTGAATCATTCAGAGTGATTCTTGACTCAAAGAATCTCAGTCACATCCATCTCCAAATAAGGGTTAGATTACGTTAAGTTTTAGGATTCGTATTCCAGAGTTATTATTTTTAACTAAAACTAAAAGCATATTAAATAAAACATATTTTGTAACTTGAAATAAAAAAAGTTTTAACTGAAATAAAAATGTAAATCATTAGTTGCCAATGCATTTTTATTGATGTTTTTATTGATGCATTTTAACTTGATGTACTAAAATAACAACAATAATAATAATACTATAAAAATAATACATAAAAAAAAAAACTAAAAATACACCCCTCCCCCCAAAAATACAAAAACTACAAGTAAAACAAATAAAACTAATGCAAACAACTGATACTAAAATAAGCGTCACATTCAAAGCAGTTTTGTTGGAATAAATCGTTTTTTTTTTAAGTATGCATTTGGCAGATATACTTTTCTCCAAAGCAACTTAAATTGCATTCATCAATCAATCAATCAATCAATCATTTTTATTTCGGTCCTCACAGACAACTTTTCACAAAATAAATAAAGAAACATAATTACCGAAAAAGGTGTAGGCTGAAGCCTTGCTTATTATGCCTACCCTTTTTACACAGTTAACTGATGAGCGACACTTTTCACTAAAAAATACAAGATAAACATGTTACATAAACATTACCCCAAATGTACATACATAATTCAAAACAACATAACAAAAAATACACATTCCAGCTATTACTTCAATATTGTAACATTACATTCATGTTTATGGGTTTATGAATTCACTGAGAGTTTTCATGATTTAACGCCATGTCAGCATCAATTCTATTTTCTACATTCATGGCAAAAACAATTCAGTTGCATCACTCAATCAATATCCTTTCATTTTAATGTTTACAATAATGTAACAATTTTGTCTTAAAAAGTCAACTGCTGTACTGTTGGAACTACAGGAGCATTATTAATCATCACGTAAACTGCCCATATTAAGCAGAAGACATTGTCATTAATTTATCATTGTTATTGAAAAATAAGAACAAAAGATACACATTACACATACACATAACATACAAATAAATCAAACAGTGCTTTTTTTCTCCAGTAGAGTGTATTTAGCAGTATTCAATCAAAAAATATAAAAATAAAACACTAAATTCACTTCACTGCATAAATTATACATATTATATTATATTTGTTGTTTTTATTACGATTAAGGTGGATAGTTCACCCAAAAATTAAAATTCCGTCATCTGTCTGTCAATTCTGTCATAGTGTTTTATTTATTCACTCTCAAGTTGTTTTTAACCTGAGTTGAGTTTCTTTCTTCTGCTGAACATAAATGTTATGTTGAAGAATGTGAATAACCAAACAGTTGCTGGTCCCCAGTTTTTTTCCCTATTAACAATTAATGACAGAAATTACATTTGAATTAAATAAATTGGGTGAACTATCCCTTTAATGACAGTCGGCAGCATGTTTAGTACTGTCGCTTTAAGAGCTAACATACAGGCGAAACACACCTTAAAGCACATGCAAATAATGTACTTTTGTGATTGCAAATAAGAGCAGTGTACAGTATCTTGAGACGGAGCCGCCAGAACTGCAGATGATTGAATGTGCGCTGTAGCTACTGTTCCTAATATTCTGTATATTGCTCAAAAACAAAATATATTGTGTTCAGTGGAAAAAAGTTTTTTTTTTTTACCCAGTCATTTAAAAATAACACATTTTAGAGCTGTAACGACAATACCGTGATACCGCGAAACCGTGATATTTTTGCTTAAGGTTATCATACCGTCAAAATTTCATAAGTGTTTATCCCTTAGATACTACGATACTACGATATTTCTTCAAAAGCAGATCGTGGAGACATTTTTATCGTCCACAATCAAAATTCGTCATATCGCACACCGCTTACTAGGGCTGTCAGAATGGCTGAAAAACTAAATTCGAATTTTGTACTTAAATATGATCAATATTCGAAATATATTTGAATTTAAAAGGCATAATTTCAGTTAGGGGGAAAAAAGCTTTTGGCTTCTCTCCTGAGGCCACAAGAGGGCGCATCGAGCAAAATATTACTAATGCACATTTCTTCAAAGCAATAAAATAACACGACTATCTTTGGAAAACGTGCATAATGTTTAAAAACCATATATATAATTAATTAATTTGCTTAAACAATTAGAAACAAAACTGCATCATATATGTATGCATAGTTTAATACAAAGGACCGAAAACCAATCACAAATAGTACTTTTTCATTTAAAAACATAAGATGCAGTGGGATGGCGAAAAACCGCCATAAAGTCTCAAGACATGTTTTTTAAAAGTAGAACTTACATTAATTTTACATGGTTTTCTAAACATGTGGCTCTTTTGTGTGAGGTGTGAGATGCGAGTGCAACGGTGATAGATGTCCCTCTAGAAAATGTGATAAATATGCGTTTTGTGTGAACGGCTTGGTTTCAGTTTTGACGTAAACAACATCTTTTCCACATTGATGTTCTCTTTTTCCGCAATATTTTGAATGAACAACGCAGCAGCGCCATCTAGTGGCTTCAACTGGATAGGTTAAAAAAAGCATTAAAATGCAACGACAACTACATCGTCATCGCATCTCGTGTCCGCTGATAAGCTGCCTGGCGCACACCTAAAATTCGAATGCAAAAACGTTGGATTTATATTTTAAATTCGACGAATATTCGAAACTTGACAGCCCTAAGCTTACTGGATAGCTAAGACCATCTAAACACATGAACACGCTGCATCAGACGACTGCTTAACTAGTCTCACATCACTTTTTCAACCAGAGTACACTGGTCTGTTACCACGGTAACACACCAGCGCATGGAAAGCATGCACAACTACACAATGAAGACGAGCCGCAGATCTGAGAGCAGCAGAAACAAACTGAACCGGTTCTGATGATATGCATCACACATACACGTGCTTTAAAGCCTTTATTTGGCTTTCTGTGATCTACTGAATTCTTCAGATTCAGATGAACCTGCAGGAATGAGAGGAGTGGACTCAAAGCCCGCGTCTGATTGGCTTTGGCATATTACGTAAAACAACAGCAGGTTAATTATTGAGCGGTTGGTTACACGACTGATAAGATGACACTGGTCAAAACCCAATAAATGAAAGTGTGTCCCTTCATAAACCTGCTTATAAGCAGATCAAACCGTGAGTGCTGCGTTCAGTAAAAAACACCACTATTTCTGTCCTGTTTGGCAGTAACAACAAAACAATGTTTAAACATCCTTAAAACAAGTTACATTTACTCAAGAAGCAAAACTGCGTAAAGATATAATACAGTTTGCAGAGAATATACTACATTTGTTTTTGTTTTGTTAAATAGCTAATTTTTAAGCATCACAGCCTTTAACATCACAAGTTTGTTTATATGCTTATTTATACGTTTATATGCTGTTAAAAGAGATATGATGATATAATGTTAAAAAACAATACTATCAGATTCACAGCAGAATTTTGTTGCATATATTAAAAATTAATAAATACAAATTAATACATTTTTTTTTTACCTGCATTAAAGATTTTTATTTTTATTAGTTCATGCATTTTTTAGGAACATGCCAGTGCCGACAAAAAAGGTTTAAACATCCTTAAAATGATTTATACTTAAGAAGAAAAAGTGTGTAGGATACTACATGTTTTAAGAGAATACTATAAACCATTTATTCTCACTATTTTTTTTCTAACTCAGGTTTAAAAAATATTTTTTTTTATTATTTCTAGCAAAAGCATTTCGTTAATGTTATGCTTAAACCAATAATTTATTTTTTTTTAATATTTTTTTGAAAACAAGACAAAAGACCGATAAAGAAAATGAGTCTTTGGTGCAACAACAATTTTTTTTAATGCATAATCATTTTCTATTCTTAACTGTCATTTTAAATCAATTTTTAACTCGTTTTAAGTTTTTAAATTCCTTGTTTTTATCGTTGTGATTATTTTACTTTCTTTTCTGTAAAGCACTTTGAATTACCATTGTGTATGAAATGTGCTACATAAATAAACTTGCCTAGTTTAATAAAAGCATGCCATCATGTGTTAAAACAGCAACTCTGAGGTAAATTAGTCTGGTTAACAGCTTGCAAAAGCAAAAACTTGAGCAGATTTCTTCAGGATTATTAGCTGGCTGTAAGACTCAGTTAGGAAATATTGTGCTGCACTTTGTAACTTACAAACTCAGCAGAAAAGATAAAACACATTCAATGCAAAAGATTGTTTATCTCACAACACAGACTCTGAAAACTTTCTCAGAATTGCAAAATATAACAACTCTTACTTTTTTTCTCAGAATTAAGAGTTTATCTTGCAATTCTGTTTTTTTCCCTTTTGTTCCATCTCATAATCAAACAAACTTTTTTTTTTTTTTTTTAAATTCTGTTTATATCTCAAAATTCTTATAGCTCAAGAACTGAAATTGAACTGAAAAAAGAGACAAAGTCACAATTATCTCTTCAACCAAATTTTTTATCCAATGGTAGAAACAGGCTTCTATAGATATCAGATGTAAAAACACGGGTTAAAGCAAGACATTTTGTAAATAAAGCATTGCATGCAAATGTGTTTAGATGCATGTAAGTGAGTGAGTGAGTGTGAGAGGAATCGTGAGCGGTTGCATCATCTAACTAACTAGTATAACCAGACTAGTTAACCCAGATCTGCTGTTTACGTCGCTTAGTATAAATGTATGCAAGCTTGAGCTTGCGTTAGTGACAGCTCACAAATCCACAATAAATTCAAAACTGTCATGCAACTGAAAAGTTGTAGCTTGTTAAACTTCTGCTGGACTACAAAACTAACAAACTCAAATCACGCTTTTAAATAGCAGCCCTTTTAAACTCCAAGAAAACATGACTATAATCACGCAGACTCTCATGCCACGTCAATCCGAGCCTCCAGCGACTCAATAACACTCTCATGCACGGGTCTGCATGTAACATCTGTATCGACACAAAACGCTTCTGATGCATATTGTATCATGCATGCACACTGATGAATATTAGCGCTGTTTTGATGTGATCAAGAGCTCTCAGCGATCATAACGCTTTCGCGTTGCTGTGCGCTATAATTTGGTCATGCACGTATAAACTCACCCTAAATAGTTGTCTCAATGTTAGTGTTAACATGGTAAAGCCACCCAACTTCTCCGGTTCCAGCAGGTTTTTGCGTTCGCACGTTTTTCGTCCGTCGCCTAAATGACAGCAGCGGATTGACGATAAGCGCGAGTGCTCATGGGAAATGTAGTCCTGTCATAGACGCGTCAGCTGCGCAGTCGGGACGCTGGACTACAAACTGACGTCAGGACTTACATAAAACCTGGGAAATGAAGTGTTCCTTACATCTCAATTGATCTGTCATCTTATGCTTTTCAGAAAAACTAGAGTCGATTGCATTATATTTTATTATTTATTTCTTTTTTTTCTAGTGTTTAATACAATTTATTTCAGTATCACTGAGATACTATTATAGTTTTTTTTAAATAAATATTTTAAATGTGTTTATATTTTTTAATCTTAAGTTAGTTTTAGTAATGTTGTGCTTTTGTCCCGTTTATGTGCCTTGTATTTGTATATTTTAGTTTTACAGGTTTCTACATCAAACTAAATAAAAAAATGAGAAATTTTGCCTTGGAAGCTTGAAAAAAAAAATTCGGTTTAAGTTTTTATATATATTATTTCATTTCAGTTTTTAGTTATTTTATTTTTAATAATGTTTTAATTTTAGTTTTCCATGCAATCTCTCAATTAATGTGGTTTCATAAAGGTTGCATGCATAGACCAATAATTATTTAATATTTGCTGATTATTTGCTGAACTCTCAGACAGAAATTTACAGTAAATTGCGGAAACGAATGCTTGCAATTAATTAATTGCATCATCATTTACAGTTGCATTAATTAAATACACTATAGTTTTTTATTTCTAAATTGTAAATAAAACAGATTATTGGAGTATGTCTCACCAAAAAATACTTGTGAATTGAATTAAAAGTTCACATTTGATTTAGAGTTACTTGGCGTTTCAATGTAATTATTGGTGAAGTCACTAGAAGTTTAAATTGTACACCTTTCTTCCAGTGTAACTGCATTTATTTACATATGTGTTCATATTCTGATATTAGCTATCACAAGTGTAACATTAATGATATACTGTATATAAATATATGGTCAATTTTGTTTTTATTGGAATTATTTTTTTATGTCAAAATAATTTAACAGGAAAAATACCCCAAAAATCCCACTCCATGAACACAAACATATAACTAACAGTCAGCAATTAATATTAAACGAGGCATGTTTTCTCTCTCAGCTTCTGACCCTAAAAACAAACCGATTGTGTAGAGAAAATGCACTTTTTACACTATATGCACAATAATTCACCACGGTAAAATGATCTTACAATAGAAGAAGTGTCAGCACATGTGAAATAAATACAGTCAATCATTTGATAATAACAGCAGGTCAGGCCGGTTAGATTTAATTATTTATTTGTGATACATTATTTACACACAATGTTCCCCATGTATGCTTATACACATCATCAAGCAATACTTTATTCACAGAACTGTTCGTTCGGTGCTTGACTTTAAAAACAAGAGAACGAAACGGGAATCATTCTTGAGTCTCTTCAAGCTTTATTCAGAGCTAGTGAATAGATAAGCTATGTCTTTAATTTCATAATATATAAAGGTAGGGTGGATAAGACTCTGTTAAATGCATTCCTTTGGATCTGTTCAGCATTCTGCGAACACACACTGAGTTCCTGCAGGTTTGTGCTCAAGTGTTCTGAACATTAAACCTCTGTTTATCCTGAAAGCTTTGGAGCTTCTGCTGATGAATCTTCACATGATTCGAATCTCTTCAAAATAAAGGTTCTTTATTCGAATCAATGGTTCCGAGAACATGCTTTAACATCCATGGAAACTTATATAGTTCTTTATAGTTAGATCATTAAAATGTTAATATACTGATCTCTTAAAATAACCAAAAGTGGTTCTTTACTCATAAAAATAAAGGTTGATTGCATTGATGGTTTCACGAAGAACCTTTAAATCCATGGAAACTTTACGTTTTTTAAATGTTCTTCAATCTAAGAAAAATCGGTTCTTTTTAAGATCTGATCACTGGAAGGTTCTTTGAGGAACCAAAAATGTTTTTTTTTTACTGTTAAAAAAATGAAGGTTCTTAATTGGAATCGATGATTCCGTGAAGAACCTTTAACATCCATGTTCTTTATAGTTGAAAAACGTCTTTAGATCATCAAAACGTTCTAAACGGTCAAAAAAAAAAAAGGTTCTTTTAAGAAACGTTCACTGAAATCTTCTTTGAGGAACCAAAAATGTTTTTCTAAGGCATTGCTGCAAAAGAACCTTTTGGAACCTTTATTTTTACGAAGGGAAAAATCTAGTGCTTTCAAATGATTAATCGCGATTAATTGCATACAAAATAAAAGTTTTTGTTTACATTATATATGTGTACATGTATATATAAACACACACACATACAGTATATATTTGGAAAATATTTACACATTTATATATTCACATTCTTATATTTTATATTATATATAAATATATTTAATATATAAACAACATATTTTTCCTAAATATATACATGCATGTGTTCGTAATAAATATACACAGTACACACACATATATTATGTAAACAAAAACTTTTATTTTGGATGCGATTAATCGCGATTAATCGTTTGACAGCACCAAAAAAAATCTTAAAGGTTTTGCTTCATTTCTCAAATTTACCCAGGTTTTCTTAATCATAATCATATCTTGTGTGCATCTTGAAGTCGAACTAATTCATGTTCCTGAACGATTCACCGTTGCACGTCGTTCTAAAGAAAATAAACGTTTGTCTTCATCACCTTCCTTCGTGACTGACATCAAAAATCCATATTTTTCATCCACCTCTTATAGAGACTCCATAATTTCATCATCATCCAAGCTAGTGAAGACCGATGTATGTTGGCTTGAACTACTGGTTTCGAGTTTGTGAAACCCTGATCAGACCATTAAAGACCAGATCTGAGCTGGTTTTCGTTTCCATTCTGAAAGACGTAAGCAGGATCAGTAGAAAAACCACGCGTTCCCTGTCGGTCTAACAGTCGACGGATGAAAGCATAAAGAAACCAATATTAAGAGTTGAATTCGGACGATTCTTTCTATATGTGACCTTGGAGCACAAAACCAGTCATAAGGGTCAATTTTGTGAAATTGAGATTTATACATCATCTGAAAGATGAATAAATAATCTTTCGATTGATGTATGGTTAGTTAGGATAGAATAATATTTGGCTGAGATACAACTATTTGAAAATCTGAGGGTGCAAAAAAATCTAAAACTATTTGAAAATCTGGAATCTGAGGGTGCAAAAAAATCAAAATACTGAGAAAATCGCCTTTAAAGTTGTCCATATGACGTTTTTAGCAATGCATATTACTAATCAAAAATTAAGTTTTGATATATTTACTGTAGGACATTTACAAAATATCTTCATGGAACATGATCTTTACTTAATATCCTAATGATTTTTGGCATAAAAGAAAAATGGATAATTTTGACTCATACAATGTATTTTTGGCTATTGCTACAAATATACCCCAGCGACTTAAGACTGCTTTTGTGCTGCAGCATTCTTAAAAATAGAGCTGCTTAAAAGCTTCTTCACAGCGATGCCACAGAAAACCCATTTTTGCTTCCACAAAGAACCATTCAGTCAAAGGTTCCATCTCTTTCTTAGCTTTTTATAATCTGAAGAACCTTCACAAAGAAGCTTTTGTGAAACAGAGAGGTTCTTCAGATGTTAAAACTTCTTCTATAGCATCACCGTGAAGCACCTTTATTTTTAAGAGTGAGGGTCACATATACAAATAAAACGCGGATGATAAATGCCTCATCCGAAATACGGATGCTCGCTCTGAAAGTTGTAGTCCGGACAGACCTTCTGCACTAGCTTGTAGTCGATGCTGAAGAAGGAGATGAAGATGCAGATGACTTTGAAGGGTTTGGCGCAGAGCCAGGATGAGTGCGACTGGGTGTTTTCAGTGAAGCAGGTCTGGGACGGATCGTAAAGGCAGGGTTTGGGCTTCTTGGAGCGATCCGTCTTCTCGTACTCGACGCGACAGTTGAAGGTTTTGACGTCTTTGGGGTCGATGGTGGATTGGTGCGGCTGGTGGAACTGGATTTCAGAGTGAAGAGGGTTCTGGAGAACCTCGAACTCAACGATTTTGGACGGAGGAACGATGCTCACCGAAACGTTCCCGAGACTGGAGGAGTTGTGCCGGAAGTAGACTGTAAAAGTCCCGTTGACGTGGTCCACGATCTTCCCCGTCACCAGAAGGCTGAACTTGAGCGTCTTGACGTTGAAGTAGAAGTCGCCCCAGCCGAAGATCTTTTTAGTCTTCATGGAGGTTTTGAGGGAGGGCTTGCGTTTGGGACGGTAGCCCGTTTGGTCCAGGAGCTGCGACTGGTTTCTCATCCATTCGTAGGGGTTCTGGAAGCTGAAGGTGGGTGGTTTGGGCTTCGAGGGCGTGTGGTCCATCGTGGAGAATATCCTGGAGGTCTGCTGTGGAGGTTTGACGCCGCCTGACGGAGCGGGAACGCCGTATGGGAGGCTCTTGAAGACTGTGCCGGATGGTCCCTGCTCCAGGTAATCCAGAGATTTGCCCACCTGTTTCTCCAAGCCGTGCACCTGCGGACACACACGCACGCACAAAGACACACAGACACACAGACACACACAGACACAGACACAGACACAAACACACAGACACAGACACAGACACAGACACAGACACAGACACAGACACAGACACAGACACAGACACAGACACAGACACAGACACAGACACAGACACAGACACAGACACAGACACAGACACAGACACAGACACAGACACAGACACAGACACAGACACAGACACAGACACAGACACAGACACAGACACAGACACACAGACACAGACACAGACACAG